GCATCTTTCAAAATTTAAAACTCCTACTTGCCTTCTAGGAATTTACTGAGAAGAGATATCGACACATGAGTACAGCAGTATTGCGGTTAAGCAATTATTTACACTCTATTTCCTAATACGCTATTGGGTAAATAGTCTACGTAGTGGGCATACCTTGGAGTACCATACAACTGTTAAAAAGACCAAAGAAGGTCTTTAATTATGTCAATATCCGTACACATCTGCGTGTGTGTGTACGTCAAGAGTGGTACAATTCCACGCACGTAAAAATACTTGGTGAAACGTGTGTGCACATATTTACGAATGCCCCAAAGACCTAAAAATAGGCGCCCTGAACTGTTACTACTGATTAGTGACACCTGGGGAGGGAAGAAATTTCTCCCCAAATTTTCTAATGTATTTACTTTAGTGTAATTTGAGCATTTTACAGCATGTATTGCCTGCATACCTGTAGAAACCCAAAGGAGGGAGACTTCAATGGATTTCGAGCAATACGCATCCTGATTAAGAACCACTGCACTGATCAGTAACTCTCACCCTTATTTTAAATGATGTATGTTGACTATTCAGGTATTGCTACGATTATGCAACGGTCTTTACAGCGGTTCAGCCTCCAAATCTACCCACCATCATGCACATCACACACGTGCACAAACTCTGACAAAGTTTTAACAGTGACGCTTCTATACTCCAACTGCACTGTCCTAAAGTCCCAGAATGTGCCCAACTGTCTCCTAGCCCAGTATGGTCTTGGCTGCTTCTACCCCAAATGCACCCCACCTCCTCTGTCCTCCGTTCTTCCAGCGCGCGCGCGCACACACACACACACACACACACACACACACACCCTCCCCCAGCTCTGCTTAGCTGACTTCTCACTCCCCACTGCTGGGCTCAATGAATGACACTCCACTGCACTTATGCTGTCCCCTCCTCGTCACCTCACCCCACCGCACACCATACTTTTCCTTTGCAACGCTCACAGCACCGTAACAACACGCTCACAACTACCTATTTATTTGCAATTCTAAAAATGTTTCAAAACCAGCAAACTAAGGAAGGCGAGTTCAGAAACAATGGATTTCTCACCCCCTAAATTTTTCTAAACTAACTTTTCTTCAGAGAGATTTGTCAGTGCAAAACTGAAAGCAGCGACCCGTGTTTACGAAATCCTGGGAAATGAAGGTTATCTGGCCTCATTTTACATTCCTACCTAATAAAAGCAGATTTGTACTAGAATTTTCAAACTTCTTTCCCTCTTTATGAGTTCCAGCGGGGCTGCATGATTACTTCATGTTTGTCTCCCCTGCTACGTTGTCATTTCCGTGAGGGCGATAATCCTTTCTCACCACTGTTTATCCAGCAGTTAGAAGGCATTCGAGACGCATTATTATGTAAGTGAATAAGAAGTCCTTATCAGAATTCTATGTGTCGGAGGAATGTGCAATGAGACAAAACAGCAAGGAAATGGCGTCATTTTGAAGACGTGATAGTCATCCATAGACTAACACAGTTTTTCCCTGAAGAACAATGCCGAAAAAATCAGGTATTTTTGCCAAGATGTCACCGAGAAGGGAAACCTAGAAGGCCATTTAAAAGGACATTACGTTTTAAAGGAAAATACTCTTAAACCTCTGTTAATATAAAAAGGTATAGGGACTGAGACCAATGGGCCTTTAGATAAATGTTTCTCTTCCTGTCAAGAGATTAGGGTCTTTCTTCTTTTCACTTGAATACTTTGTAATTTCTTCCCTTGAATACTTTTCCACTGGAGTAGTCTTCCCCAAATTTCCCAACTGATTTCCCCGACCCACAGTGCAGGGAGAGACTATGAATAACCAACCTCTGGAATTCTTCCCTGGGCTTCCGTGAGAACATCTTACATTTGCAGTCTGCAAACTCTTTCCACGTCCCTTTCTTAAATCCTATTTTCACATCCCAAATTCTCTTCCATCCCAAACTGTCACTTCTCTGGGGCCAGCACATCTAAATGCTGCCACACACTAATGCCACCACCCCACAAGATACCAAGAATTTGTCCTCACCAAAGCACGCTAATCTTTGTCAAACAAAACAGGTGCTCATTTTTTTTTAAACATACTTTACATACATGAGTCTTAGCAAATATTTGCCTTTGGAGAATTAACTCTCAGTGGGTTAAGTCTAATTTCTGGGCCCCAAAGGACA